ATGAACTTCTTTATTTCTGCTGTAGTCAATTTGCACATCAAAGGGGCTCATATACACCTTCAGCTCCAGCAGAGCCCCCAGTGCATGGCACCATCTTCACAGCCAGTATTTAGAGTAGAGTAGAATGGAGTGAGGTGGAATATGGAATATTAGAATAGAATAGAATAAGAAATAATGAATAGGATAGGATAGAATATAGAATATAGAATATAATATGAAATAATTGAATAGAATAGAATATAGAATATAAAATAGACTAGAATATGAAATAATGAATGGAATGGAATGGAATGGAATGGAATGGAATGGAATAGAATAGAGTAGAATAGAATAGGAGCTGGAAGGGACCTTGGAGGTCTTCTAGTCCAGCCGTCTGCTCAAGCAAGATATCCTGTACCATTTTAGACAGGTGACTGCCCAGTCTTTTCTTGAAAACCTCCAGTGATGACCAATATTAACATTTGTAGAATCTACTCCCATGGCCTTCAAGCTTTTGTCAATGCCTGTCTTCTTCCTCATGAAATACATCAGATTATCTGCCATCACTTGAGCAGGTTTTCCTGTTTTTGAGCCTTTCTCTGGAGTGAAATGATAAAGATATCTTCCACCAAGCTCGCTACACACAGAATAATGTTCTTTGATATGTACTAGGGAATTGCTGGTCTGAAAATTTATGATATTTACATAGTTGTTTACGAAGCACATCTAAATTATATGAAAGTAACCAAAATATATTTACAATTACCAAGGCATGTCACAATGTTTGAGCACGCCTAATGTTTGGAAATTGAAAGCTGGGAAATGTGACACGCCTAATGCCATACCAGAAAACATCTCCCTGCGTACAACTGCTGGCACAGACTGTTTTCAGGAAAAGAACAAACTGAAACAGAGGGATTAGGAGAAATGCAACAGGGGAAAAAAAACAAATTAGTATTTCAGATAAGTGACTGTCCAATCTCTTCTTAAAAACCTCCAGTGATGGAGCTCCCAGAACTTCTGGTGGCAAGCAATTCCACTGGTTAATTGTTCTCACTATCAGAATATTTCTCCTTAATTCCGGTTGCATCTCTCCTTGATTAGTTTCTATGTGTGGCTTCTTGTCCTGCCCTCTGGTGCTTTGGAAAATAAGTTGACCCCCTCTTCTTTGGGGCAGTATTCTTTGTAGAATACTGCTATCATGCCCCCACCCCCCCCAAATACAGTGTGGTATGCTGGCTTAACAGCTGCGGATAGAAAGACATTACAGAGGGTGGTGAGCACAGCACAAAACATCGTGGACTGTTCCCTGGCACCACTAGATGACCTCGCTCGGGCTCGCTGCCTTAGAAGAGTGAGGAAAATCCTCAGGGACGACTCACACCCCAGTCAGCCCTTCTTCACTCTCCTACCATCGGGTATGTAGGAGAAATAGAAGCAGAGCCAGCCACACCAACAGGCTGAAGAACAGTTTCTACCCGTGGGCTGTCAGACTCTTGAACGGAAAATAACTTCACGTCAACATAGTTGGACAGACTTGTGGGGCAGCATGTTGTACAACAAGGTCACCTAGTGTAATAAGATTGGGACTGGGTTAGAGACTTCTGTCCTCACTGTGAGTTGTGTTGGCGGGGGGGGGGGAGTTTGCAATGAAGGGAGGCTCAGCCAACCTCATTGCACACACGTTGTACTCTGACAATAAAGTAACAATAATAAAGTCTCGACAGCCAGCGGCTGCTGCATCGCCACAGCCCAGAAAGACGTCCTGGACCTGCTGAGGAAATGGGAAACTTCCTGCCAGCCCTCCCAGCCAGGCCAACCCCAGAAGCCCTACCAGAGCTGCAAGGAAATCAAGGCTGCCGTGCCAGAGTCTCCAGGTGAGTAAAGGGGATGCTTCAGCCCCATCAAATCTCTCCACTTCTGGGTATTTCGGTCCACGATGGGCACTGCGAGGCATGGGAAAGAGAAGAGGGGGCTTTGACTGCAGGGTTGTGGCTGCCGTTTTGACTTTTATTTCATTTCTATTAACATAATTTGTATAGATCTCAGTTGTATAGTTTGGGATCATTACAGCTCTTTTTACCATTATAATTCAAAATTGACATTATCTTCTACCATTTATGTAAATTGGTTATTATGAAATGGTGTTTATAGACATGAAAAGCGGATGGAGGAGGAGATAGAAAGGAGGAGGAGAAGGAAGGGGACAAACAGAAGGGGAAGGAATTAGGGGGAGGAGGATGGGAGGAGGAAAAAGAAAAGAGGAAGAGGAGAAATGGAGGAAGAGGAAGGAGAAGAGGAGGAAAAAGAAGGGAGGAGGTGGAGGAGGAAGAGGAGGGAAGGGGGAATGGAGAGGAGGAGAACTGTAGGTTCCTGGTCATTTTGAAATACCAACAACCGAACATAAATATGTATGTGTGTGATATAGATGTGTGTGTATTTATTATGTATGTGTCTGTGGGTATATATACGAATACATACACACACACACACACACACACATATATGCTGATTGGCAGATGGACTGTACATCCTGATCAGTGAAGATGGTGAGATCTACCAGACCTTCTGCGACATGACCACTAACGGAGGGGGCTGGACTCTGGTGGCCAGCGTCCATGAGAACAACATCTTCGGGAAATGCACCACTGGCGATCGCTGGTCCAGCCAGCAAGGGAGTGATGCCAACTACCCCAACGGAGATGGAAACTGGTCCAACAATAACACCTTTGGGACAGCCATAGCAGCCACGAGCGATGACTACAAGGTAGGAGTTACTCATTAGAGGGGGGGGGAGCAAACTTTTTTAAGGGCCTTTTTTTAGCCACAGGCCAAAATCAGACTCAAAGAGTTGGTCGTAAGAGGGAGCTCTGGGTTATGTTTAATATTCGATGCAAAAACAGCAAATGTTGTTCATCCACAATCATTGATGAAACTCTCAACATCAGTGGTCACCTTGAACCTAAATGTGGTATGTCCGAAGATGATCACACAGGCCAGTTTGGGCACAAAATGTCCTGACTCATGTTGGGTTGGGCACACGTGGCTATAGACTTACACAACAATTTTTATGTTGAATTTTTGGAGTGTGCCTTACTTCATAAGCTTAACAGAGTTGGAAAGGATCTTGGAGGTCTTCTAGTCCAGCCCGCTGTTCAAGAAGGAGACCTTATAACCTTCTGGAAAAATGGATGTCCAGGCTCTCCTTGAAAACCTCCAGTGACGGAGCTCCCACAACTTCTGGAGGCAACTTCAGTTCTACCAATTAATTGTTCTCCCTGGCAGGAAATTTCTGATTAATTTTAGGTTGCTTCTCTCCTTGATGAGTTTCCATCTGTTGCTTCTTGTCCTGCCTTCTCGTGGTTTGGAGAACATGCTGAACCCCTCTATTTGTGACAGCCCAGTAATTTTGCTCCTTTTTCAAGAAGTGTTTCTAGTCAATGGGGGAAGGGGAGAGGTCACCCCTCTGGAGTGTTGCTAGGGTCAAACCTTCTCACCCGTAATCTTTATGTCCATGAAGAAAAGCAGATGCACAGGACAGATAATAGTTCCTCTCCATGCGTTGTATCATATCAATGTGTCATTCTGCAGGATCTCAGGATTCAGAGGCTCTTAAAGAGGGACTCTTGAAGCCTCGTCCAGTGTTCTAGATGACCTCCAAGGTCCCTTCCAACTCTGTTATTCTATGATTCTCCACGGTGTCTCTTCTTTTCCAGAACCCAGGCTACTACTCTCTTATAGTCCGAGATATCGCCATTTGGCACGTTCCCAACAACAACCCGATGAAGAAATGGCGGGAGATTTCCTTCTTGAGATACCACACCGAGACAGGCTTCTTGTCTGGGGAAGGAGGTAACCTTCTCCGGCTCTATGAGGTGAGCCCAACCAACCTGGTTTTTTCTGCCTTTCTGCCTGTTGACTCACCAAATATGAGCCCGCCTGTCTCTTGGACCTGATCTGGCTGATCCTAAAATGCTAAATATGCATTGATTGATGGATTTGATTGATTGCATTCGTAGCAACTCTGGGCTTTGGTGATTGGTTGAAAGACCACCAGAATCTCAGAACAATACCTTAGAACTAGGAAGGGGAAGAAGGCATCTCAAAAGAGGATCAAAGCCAACCATCTTCTTCTTGACCTCCAGAAAACTTCTAGTTGGACCTTCACTTGGTCATCGTGGTCCAAGAAATCACCACAAATTAAGCTCAGTTTTGATGGCTGGGACTCAGAGTCCTATAGCCGGGTTGAAGAGGACACCATAAAACATCTTCATCTTCTGTCTGCTTTGCTGACGGATCGGTCATGCATGAAAATAATCCAGCTGTGTTTGCTTTCCAGAAATACCCGGTGAAATATGGCGGTGGTAACTGTCCAAAAGATAATGGCCCCACTACCCCTGTTGTTTATGATGTTGGCGATGCCCAGAAGACTGCAGAGTTGTACTCTCCCAATGGGCGGTGTAAGCATTCTTGTCTTGGTTAGAGGGCTGCCCCACAATATGGGTGGTTGGACCTCCTGTGGCTCCTAGGCTGGGACATCCTCTTTTGAAGCTAGGATCCAGGAGGAAGGTAAAGGAAGGGACTCCTTTCCAAAACTGGTGGCCCATTTGAAATAGTTTAGAAAGCAGGTTGAGCAGGTTAGGTTAACAATGTATTTTTCTTACCTTGGGGGGCATTTTGTAGCCCCCAAAAACCCAGCTGCAAGGAAACAGCAATGGGAATGGGAATATTATGCAAACATGGCCACTTATAGGTGGGTGGACTTCAACTCCCAGCATTCCCCATCCAACATACTTAAAGATGGGTGGACTCAGAGGTGATATTCAGCAGGTTCTGACCAGTTCTGGAGAACTGGAAGTGGAAATTGTGAGTAGTTCAGAGAACCGGCAAATACCACCTCTGACTGGCCCCGCCTCCCCTCTATTCTCCGCCTCCCGAGTCCCAGCTGATTGGCTGGGTCTCCTTTGGTTTCCCTGCACAGGAGAACGGAGCTGGAAAGCAGGTTAGTGGGGAGGGAAGGGGGATTTTGCAGTATCCTTCCCTTGCCACATCCACCAAGACACGCCCACCAAGCCATGCCCACAGAACCAGTCATAAAAATTTTTGAATGCCACCACTGGCGTGGATTTCAGCTCACCAACATGATGTGGGGAATGCTGGGAGTTGAAGTCTGATTATCGATTGTCATCAACCAAGATTGTGAAAATAATTACAGATTGTTAGGGCTCCCAACTGCATTTAGTATCTCTCTTCCGATTCTCAGCTGAATTTGTCGCTGGCTTCGTCCAGTTCCGGGTGTTTAATAATGAGAAGGCAGCACTGGCTCTCTGCTCTGGCGTTAAAGTCACCGGATGCAACTCAGAACATGTGAGTATCCCAGCCTTCCTGACAAATGCTGCGTCAACATCCCACTTGAGTATCCAAATAGTAGCCCAGGATCATTTTATTTCTGAAAACCTTACTGTTTATTGAATACGTGGCATGGTAACGGTGAAGTAAAACTAATTCTGAAATTCCCAGGCATGAGAACATAATATCGTGTTTCCCCAAAAATAAGACCCTTTTTTTTGCCACCAAAAAAGGCACCAGGTCTTATTTTGGGGGGATGTCATCCACTGACTAGCCTTACTTGCACGCATCGCCCCCGGCCTCCTTTTCACTGTCAGAGGCCTTCAGAAACTTCTTCTTTTGTGGCTGGCAAGCCTTTCCTGCAGGACTCTGCAGCTGATAAGAGAGCTCTGGATCGATCCAGAGCTTTGTTATCTGTTACAGAGACCATCAGGAAAGCCTTGCTAGCCTTGCCGGCTGCAGAAGAGATGGGCCGGCAAGGCAGGTGTCAGGGTGTGTGAGGCCTGGCTACAACTGTCCAAAGGTAAGTGGGAGGGCAGCTCTACCTCCACCCATCCCCACCCTACCTTAATTTTTACCCGTGCACTCTGGAGTGGGTGGGATCTTAATTAGGGCTTTTTTTTTTTTTATTCATAATTTTTTTTTTATTTTTTATTTTATAAAACAAGTTTTATTAATTTTCAAAACACACAAGTCATCATTATCCATTACATGTTTAAACCTTTTTCCATTATAAATTTAACAAGTCAGATAAACTATAATTCTGTTTTAAACCATTTCCATATAAACATACCAAAAACCTCTTATCCAATTTCCCTTTATTTCTCTTTACTCTTATTCAATTTTATTATTATTATTTCATCTACTTCTTTCTGACTTAGTTACCATTATTCTCATTCTATATTTCTACAAGGTTTTATTAATTTCCCCCCCCAAAAAAACAACATAATCACACAACACACAAAACATAAAAAAGATCTTTTTGGAAAGTAACTTGGACCCAGGTATCTCTCTTTTCATGGACTTCAATTATATTCAGGCTCATCTTACATATCATTACTTATTTTATTTACCATTCTAAGTCTTCTATATTAACTTCTCCACATATTTCACTCTTCTTGATTCTATCTTAATTAATCATCTTAATTTGAGTCATTATATTTATATCTTTTGTCCATTCTCTATTATACCTTTGTCTCATTCCTTTTAAAAAGAAAAAAATTTCTCCTGAAATCACTAATCAGAGTATGATGCCTTTCTATCTCCCCACTAAATTAATCAAATTAATCTTTAAAATACCCAATCCGATTTTGCTTGGTACATTCTAACTGAATAATACATCTAAAACAATTAAATACATAGTTAAGCAATAGATTTAAATATTAAAAACAAAATACTATAATGAAAGTTTTATAATAACATCAATACCATAATATAATAATAAACTCTTTAATTAAAGTTTAATATTCCAAATCTCCCCTCATATTATATTTTCAAACCAATCATTATTAACATTCCAACATTTTAATCTCTTATCAACTCTCAAGCCATTTAAATTTTCTATTTCTGATACAATACTACAATATCATCTTATGTACCTTGCAAAATCTCTTTGAAGAAATTATACTTATCCTTTATCCCTAAAAAAAATTTCTTTTTTCTCATTTAATTTCAAAACTTTGTAGCTTTTCTCCACCTTTTCCCTTTCTTTCTTCCCCCAACAAACCTTTCTAGCCCCCCTTCTTCTAGCCTCTGCCTTACTGGCTTCCCTTCTCTGTCGTATTCCTCTTCCCTTTTGTTTACCATCCTTATATTGATTTTGCACCTTGTTTTTCCCTTTCTTAAATGTTTTTTTAAATCTTAAGTCCTTTATTTCTCTTCTTTTTCCTCTTCCTTCCCTCTTGGTCGAGTTCTGAGATTTATTAAAGATGGCTTCCTCTCTTTGTTCTTCTTCTGCTGTCTTCATCTGTTGCAATGTTTGTTGATAGTTAATAAGCGCCATTTCTAAAAAAAAGAAGGCTTCTTTCAAACCAGCTTTACCATTTTGTTTTGCTTGCTCATAATCTTTTCTCAGTTCCTCGATAGAAGAAGCCATTATAAATCTTTTCTTTTCTTTTCTCTTACAACAGCCAGAATATTCCAAAGGAAAAATAAGACAATCCCAAAGTTCTCAGTCAGTCCAAACCAAGACAGAGTTCCCACTCTCTCCTCCTGGGGTAGTATCAATTAAAGAAAAAGAAAGTCCAAATCTGTTTCTTAAAGTCTTATTGCAATATATTTTAGTCTTTCAATCCTTAAGGCATCTCCTCCAACAAGGTCTTAGCATACAAATATTTTTTTTTTAAGTCCTCTCTTTTCCCACTCACCGCTTAGAGCCAGTTTTCACCTAAAAAAAATAGGTTTCTTAATGTTCACTTTTTATTCCGTAAAAAAAGAGGGTAAGCTATCCTTTCAGCACCATTAAACTGCCGCTTTTTTCCTCTTCTCGAAGGTATCATTCAGAAAGTCATACTTTTCAGGAATTTTGTTAAATATGTCTTAGAGTCCTAGGAACCAAGAAAGACTTTCTCCTCTCAAGCACTTTCTCCACTTCCTCCTGCGCATTCTTACCCGGCTGCCAGCTTCTTTGTGGTGGCCATTACGGACCGCCGCTGCACCGTCCTGGGAAAAGGGGGTTCTGCCGGCCGGGAAGGGGGTCTGCAACACCCCCAAACCCTTCTCCGGATCCCCCCTACCTTCAGCTGCCCCTGCAGGGCAGCCTAGCTCCGTACCCGTCTGGGTCGGAGCCCCAAAAACGGCTAGCGCGGCAGGGATCGCGCAGCTTCGCAAATCCCTGCCGCTCGCGAAGCCGACAAACCCCTTAATTAGGGCTTATGTTAGGGGCAGGGCTTACATTGGGCGCACGTGTAAAAGTCAAACTAGGACTTACTTTCAGGGTAGGTCGTATTTTCGAGGAAACAGGGAAACAATGGTTTTCCCAGCCAAACCCCCAGACTTACACGTAACTCATGTAAATGAGTTTTCTTCATTATGGAAAACATCTGCCTTCTTCTTCACACCTGTTAATATGTCCTTTAAAAGCTTTCAGGATCCTCTCACCAGCTTCAGGGGAAGCTGGAGAAGTTTTGTTTCTCTAACTAACCCATTCGTGATCAACACTTCCCCCCGCTTACTCTAATGGCAAGATGAAACGAAAAGGCACATAGCTGCCATGTTTCTCACTCTTGACATACTGCTACAAACAGCCAGAAACGTCACCTCCCCATAGAAGCTGAATAATAAAATTAAATATATAAGCATATGCTAGGGATCTAACCAGCTGATCATGTGATCGCAGGGTGGGGGGTTAGACAGCTGTCATAACTTTGAATCTTGACCCTAAGTATCTTTTGAATGGGGGGGTGTCCATCGTAACGTTGAAGAGTCACTAAGTAGCCGGTCATAAGTTGAGGATTATCTATAGATTCCCTTGAGCTGTGCTTTTCATTTGTAGAATTCAGTTTCACCTTTGATGGAGGGGGGGAATTGGGGGGGTTCTATAATTTTGTACCCCACTTTCCATGTACACAGCACACTGTGGAATTTAATTGGTATATTAGAACATAAAATCATAGAGCTGGAAGGGACCTTGGAGGTCTTCTAGTCCCACCCCCTGCACAAGCAGGAGACCTTATACAGATAAGCCTCAACTTAAAACCATTTACTGACCATTCGAAGTTACCACAACACTGAAAAAAGTGACTTACAACTGTTTTTTCACACTTACAACTGTTGCAGCATCCCCATGGTCACGTGATCAAAATTCAGACACTTGGCAACTGACTCATACTTATGATGGTTGCAGTGTCCCGGGGTCACGTGTTTCCCTTTGGGGGCCTTCTGACCAAGCAAAGTGAACGGGGAAACCAGATTCACTTAGCAACCTTATTGCTAACTTCACAACTGACATGATTCACTTGCAAAGCAGAGCCTCTATATATCAATGGAGACTGTGTGGAAAGAGTTCATAGTTTTAAGTTTCTAGGAACTCATATTTCCGACAACCTTACTTGGTCGGTTCACACTATGGCCACTGCAAAGAAGGCCCAACAACACCTGCACTTTCTGAGGTTGCTGAAAAAGTGTGGTTTAGGTGAGAAGTTGCTGGTTACTTTTTACCGGTCTACCATCGAGAGCATTTTGGCATACTGTGTAACGGTGTGGTATGCTGGATGCTCTGCAGTGGATAAGAAGATGCTCTAGAGAGTTATAAACACAGCACAAAAAATAATCGGTTGCTCTCTTTCTTCTTTGGAAGAGATTGCGAAGACCAGACTCCTCTCTAGAGCACTAAAAAATCTCCACAGACCGTTCTCATCCTGGACATTCATATTTCGAACTGTTACCATCAGGGAGGCGTTATAGATGTCTTAAAATGAGGACTAATAGACTGAGAAACAGTTTCTTTTCCAAGGCAGTAATTGTCTTGAATCAAACAGTGCATTTGGGATTTATTATTATTATTATTATTATTATTATTATTATTATTATTATTATTATTGTTGTTGTTGTTGTTGTTGTTGTTGTTGTTGTTGTTAAATACTCTGTAGTGTGATTGTGATGTGGTGTTTGGGGCACTGTGCTGGAGTAACTTTCAAATTTCATTGTATTTGTGGAATGCAATGACAATAAAGGTATTCTATTCTTAACAACTGTAGCAAGAAAGGTCATAAAAGGGGGCAGAACTCAACAAATTTCTCACTTAGCAACAGAAATGTTAGGTTCCCTTGTGATCATAACTCAAGGACTACCTGCAATGGGATCACACTCACCAAACTTAAAATCCAGGTCTTAAGTATCTTTTGGAGAGTCTGTTGTAACTTTGAACAGTTGCTAAGCAATCAAGTCAAGGACACGTATATCCTTTTGAGCTGTGCTTTTCCTTCCTAGAATTCAGGTTTGCCTTTGCTAGATATGAATGTGTGTTATAGTTTTACAGCCTGTCATGTATGCACACAGAACATACTTTGGCGTTTTAG